AGTTTCGACTATATTGGCGTTGCGCGCCGCAAGTTTGAATAGATCGGTGTCCACTCGTCAGTTGCTCTCTCCAGTCAAACTGCTCGGCGTTTTCCTTTTGAGCTTTCAGTGCGTGCGGCCGCGGGTTGCTCAGCGCTGATTAATATAGGTGCGACACAGCGAGCCTTTGCGCTGCGCGCGCTTGACGACCGTGTCGCAAACAATGGCTGGAAGCTGAGAAGAGCAGCGCGACAGAGCTGCTGCTAAACCAGCCGTTTTCTTGCAGGGCAGTCTACGTGCTGATTTCGCGGCGCATAGCTCGCAGCGAAGCTGTGGAAACGGGATGCGACGGCGCTTTCGGCTCGCGCAACAGGCGGAGCCGCTCGGAAAACCGGTGCTGGCGTATCGCTGCGCGCTTACTGGTTGCTGAACTGTTGGAACAGCGTGTCGTTGGTTGCCACGACGTGGATGAGGATACGGACCGCCTCGAAGTTCGGGTTCACAATGTCGTACACCGAGTTTGGCGGAATGAGGAGCGCTATGCTGTCGGCGAGAACGAACGACGCGCAGCGGGCCGCGAAGTCCGCGATCTGCGGCGCGACTTGCACCTCGCAAGACGCGCCGGACAGCGGCCGCACTAGCACGTACGTTTTGCGCGCGTTGTCGATGCCCTTGCGGCTGCTGCCGTCCAGGTACAACAAGATCGTCGTGAAGCGCAGCGTCTGGAAGAGCAACGTGAATTTGTAAACGAGCGGGTCCGCAGCCACGGTGATCCAGTTTTGATCTTCGTGCAGCGAGTGGATGAGAATCTTGCCGGCCGCGTTGTTCACGAGCGGCGCAGTTTGCCGCTTCAGTTTGCAGTCGAAGAAGCTCTCGTCGCACGGCACTGCGAGCGTGCCGCGCGAAGCCAGTAGCAGCGGCTTTTGCGATTGCACGCTTGGCTCTTCTCCCAGATGTTGCTGCGCCGTGGTCTCCAGAGCGCCGCGAGTAACGTCGCTTGGAGCGTGGTGCGCGGGGTCCAGCGAGCACTGCGCGTCTTTCAGCGAGAGTTGCGGGGCAGGCTCCTCGAAAGACTGCGGTGAAGCATCCGCAATGCTTCGGGCGCGAAGCGCAGGCGAGCCGACGTGCATCGGACTCGCTGCTGCAGCAGGGGCTTGGTCAGCCAGCATCTGGGCGCTGCGCGGCCCGCGGAGAGAGACCTGCCGCTCGGCCGCAGGGAGAGCGATCTGCCGAGGCTTCCGCTTGCGGCGTACCGGTTCTTTGGGCAGTTCGTCGCGCTCGGCGAGCAGCACAGCCGCGGCCTTCGTGTTCGTCAGCGACCCATCCTCCGACTTGTACTGGATCCGCTCGCCTGCCCACCACTTGAGCGGGGGGACACGTACGCGGGGCGGCCGCCTGCGCGCGGCTGGCCGTGCGTCCGCAGCGACCGGTTTGATGCTCACACGACGCAGTTTATTCGCCTTCGCCGCTGCGTTTGTGCGGGGCGCGTGCGGCGCCTTCACAGCGAGTGCCAGCTCAGCGTTGACTTCAATTCTGCGCGTAGCGGACAGCGCACTGCTCGTCTCGACCGCAAAGGAGTCGTAATGCGAGTCGAGGTCTAAGACGGGAGTGGCGTCGGAAGACGCTTCAGCCGAAGTCAAATTAGTCGCTGAAGAGGTGAGGCTGTCGGAACCGGACAAAGAGTCAAGAGCATCATCCGACTGCGCAACAAGCGACGCGTGCGCAGCTGAGCTCGAATCGCTCTCGTCGCTCGCGACGTAGGACATATCGGTGTCGCTGCGCAAGACGTTTTGCGCGCGGTCGTCACGCGTGGTTCTTCGAGACGAGCCGCGCGCGCCGCGACCAAGCCGACGCTTCGGAGCCGAACCAATCTTAATGTCTTTTAGCAAAGCAAGCTGCTCAGCAGACAGCTGCGACTGCGCGTCGAAGTCGGGCTCCTCGTCGGGCTCCTCGTCGGGCAGCGCGCTCTCGGGTCGCGCGTCACTGAGCGACGCCTGTCCGCGGCCCTCACCTTCAAGCCCAGTCTCTGGCGGCTCAGCGCGACGCGGCACGAGCAAGTGGTTGCGGAACGCAGAGAAGAAAATTTCATCTGCGTCAGCTTGCGCTGAGCGTGTTTTCGTCTTCTGCGGCGCATGTGGCTTGCGCACGCCGGGCTGGCCGCGCGGGTCGCGCGTCAGCTCAGCGTCTGCGCGCAGTTGGCTTCGGTCGTCGCACTGGGTCGTGTTCTGCAGCTGGGAGCTCAGCGCTAGCAAGCGGTTCCGCGCGGACGGCGACGGCTGACTAAGTTGCTCCTCCGTCTGTACGGCGGAGAAAGACGGCGCGCGGCGCACGTCTGATTGTGCATCGCTGCGGTCGCTCGCGCAGCCTGCGTAGTCAAACGCTTCCGACGGATCTTCGGCCGCGTACTGCAAAGACGCATCGCTCTGTGAACCGGCGTTCACGCTGCTGTGAGCGTCAGCGTCAGCCAGGCCTGCAGCAGGGGAAACCACAGGCACCGCTTCGGACTCGTCGGAGAGCGACGCTTCGCGTAGCATGTCGTCGCTCCCAAACTGGCGATCTTCGCGGTCGATTCGCGCGGTGGGCCGACCCGCGCGGCTCGGCTCGAGATCTTTGCTCGATTCGTTGTACGTTAGTGCTTGTAGGCGCTTTCTTTGAGCAAGCCCACCAGCGTTGCGCTCGCATAAGCTTTGTTTACCGTGCAACAGGTCCGCTTCGGCGCGCTGCGTCTCGGTCGCCGCAGTTTCGCAAGGAACGGGCGCGCAAGCGTCCGCTCTACCGACGCGCCGCTTCAGAGCCGTCACCGAGGGTTGCGCGTCTCGCGCAGAGCCAGCACGGTCCGGGCTTCGCTGCAGTTTGAGCGCGGCGAGGTTAAAGTCGAACAGCGTATCAGGGTAGTCGCTCGAGTGCATTCCGAAACTGCCGCGCCAGTTACCAGATTCGGCGTACTGCGCCTCGGCGCATGCTGCAGAGGAGCCAGCATCAGCATCCGTCGCGACGTGCTCGCTCTGCTCGGCGTCCAGCAGCGCCTCGATAACATGCTTAAGCGCTGGCAGCGCCTGCGCTGGCTGGTGTATCGCAGCTGGCAAAGCGTGAATGCAATCAGTAACTTCATTGGCTGGCAGCGGGCGAGCAGTGCGCATCGAACTCTCGGCTTCGGCGAAGGTAGCGCATTGCGTCTGTTGCGCTGCGTCATCGCGATCGCAGTCTGTGGAGTTGCGCACCGAAATACGTTTGTACTGCTGCGATTTCAGCGCGAGGTTGCTCTTCAGTGTGTCCAAGATGGCGTACATCTGGTTGCTAGCACCGTTTTGCGAGAAATCGCAACTGACTGAAGCACGGCGCGAGGCAAAGTGCTCTGCGCGGGGCACGCCAAATGTCGAGCCAAGTAGCAGCTGTCGATCAGCGCCGCGGCAGTCCGCTTCGTCCTCAATGGCCAGCGGAAGCAATACAGAGCGCAAGCGCGAGAGGACGCGACTCTCAGCGCTGCTTTGCGGGCTTCGTTCGCCGGCGGTACGGAGCAGCCGTTGTGAGGCAGCGAGGAGCTCGTTGCGTTGTTTTAACGAAAGCTGCGGACGTTCGCGGCCTCTGAGCAGTGCGACTGAATTAGTAAGAGACTTAGGCCGAGTCTCGCTTAACTTGGCTACCAGCGAAGCTATCACGCTCGAATCGTCAGGCTCACACAGCTGCTCCGCGTGCGAGTTATCCGCGAGCTTGGAATCGGAGAGTTTGCCATCCGCAAGCTTGGCCTCGGCGATCTGTCGGAGCAAGTGGAGTGAAACGTTTCGAGACGGCCTCGGCGAGCTGCGAGCCTCGGTTTCCAGCCTGCGCTGCGGAGAGCGGCCTACACGCACGAGGCGCGGCTCAACAATGGACACGCGCTTCTGCCGAGCAGGCTTGCGCACGGCTGCGAACGGCGCAGGGCGCAACTCTGAGTACCGCCGCTCGCGCTCGACTGCGCGGTCTGATCTAAGTCGTTCAACGTCGGTCGAAGCGAGATCAAGCAATTTGTCAGTCGTCGCCTCGCGCGGCGCGGCGTTGAACCTAGAGCTCGGCCGCGCCGGCCTCTCCACGTCAGCCGCGCAGAGCGCGTTGATGAGTTTGAGCAGCGCGCTCGAGCTAGCGCTATCTGGTGAAGCGCTGCGCGTTGCGCCGACGGTCGGCACGTGCAGCGAAAGTCGGCGACGCGCACAGCTCCGCTCGAACTCGGACAGCTCGAGTTGATCCCTGCCGGCGAAGGCCGCAGACGTCTGCTTGAAGTTACGGACGAGTTGGCGAAGCAGCGACTGGCCAGCAGGCGTGCCAAATTCGCGGAGCGCCTTGGGTATCCGCGCGTCCACGTGCGGCGCGCGCTCCGCAGCGCGCAGTTCTTCCGAGCGTCGGGGAAACTGCGGAAAACTGGAATGGCTGGCACCGTCGTTCGCTAGCTCCCGTTTCAGCAGCTGCGCAATCGACTTACCTAGCGCAGCCGAGTCTGCTCCGGAAGCAGCGTTGTGCATCTCATGCCATAATCGGGCGATTTGCGATATTTTCAAATATAGATTTCGCCAGCGATTATGGACGCTCTAGTCTCGAAGAGCGCCGCGATGTTCGGACTCATTCCGATTTATCTCGTGACTTTGGCTTCGCTCGTAAGTCGCGACGCGCTGATGCTGCCAAAGCCGAGTCGCTTTGGTATCAAGTCCGAGAAGTTCGCGCAGGGCGGCAAGCTCGATCAGGTCCTGGCCTACCAGGCGTTCTTGTCGGCCGCGCACGCGCAAATGGGCGCGCTGCCCGCCCGAGTACAACAAGCGCTGTGCAACTACTTGGTGGGTGCGAAGCAAGACGGCGCGTTGAGCAACATGAAGAGTTTGCCGCAGGCCGCGCAGACCGCGCCGGACGCGGGCGATATGTTCGAGGCGACGTTCAGCTCTATGCTGCCGATGCTGCACCGCGTGGTGCTCGCAGTGTGTTTCTACGCAGTGTACCGCGAGACGATCGTAGGCGCGCTGCCGTTCGCAGTGCCCGCGGCAATTGCTTCGCTCACGCAAAAGGGCAATTCGTACGCTCACTTGTCGCAGCGGTACTTGAGTGGTTTGTCGTGGTACTTCCTATGCGTTTTCGGCTTGGAATACTTCGCTCACGAGCTGTCGCGCCTTTGCTGCGGTGCGTACCCGAAGGCCGCCACGGCGGGCGCGCCGCCCATGGCAGGCTCGCCATTCGCAGGGCTGGCGAACACGAATGCGCTGCAGAAGAAGCTGAATGATATGGCCGCAAAATGGCAGACGGCGAAAATCGCGCCGCTACTGCCCGACGGCCGCGGCCGTGCCGTCGCGGCCGCGTTGTGCCGGAGCAATGCGGTTTAGAATGGCGCGCGGCAGCGGGCCTCGCGAACGCGTCACACAGTCAGCGCCGCGTGGACGGGGACGCGACCGAGTGTGGACAGCGAAGCGAGCTAGCCGCGAACAGCGAACCGCGCTAGCCGCGAGCGGCAGCGCGAGGCTCAATCTTTGTTGCGCGCCGTGCGCCGCATTCGGGACTCCAAGTGTGATGAAACACATAAAGAATTAAGTGCATGCCTATTGCCTGCGCAATGGAGAAAAGATTCAAGAGTTTCGAGCAAAGCAACTCGCTGGCGGTGGTTCGGTGCAAAGACCTGATCTGCGCAGGTCTCGAATTCACGCTCGAGTTTTCGAGCGTGACTGCGCACTATTTAAACACGCTGCTGAACGAGCTCGCTCGGAAGTGGACGCGCCCGCAATGGCTAGTGCCTGACAAGTACGAGCCGTGCTGCAACGAGGTGTTCGAAACCGAGCTGTATGAGTACGACGTGATGGTATTCCGCAGCAAGCGCAATTTGCTGAGCAGAATTTGTAATTAGCGAGCAAATTTGCAGACTAATTACGCGAAGCAGATGAGTGCGAAAACGCGCAAAATCAGCGACTTGCTCGCGCTGCGAGCGTTGTTGTGCGAAGAAGCGTTTAGCGGCATTGTGCTCTTTTACTTGCGCGAACACCCGCCTTCCGAGCAGGCGCTGCTGGTTTGCCAGAAGTTGGCTGCGGTGCACACGGAGCTCGGGCTGGCGGAGGTCGAGCTCAGCAACCTGCTGGTCGGCCGCCAAGCGCTGGCCATCGCGGCGGCGCCGATTTTTTGGCTGGTCGCGAAACAGCAGCTGCTGTACAGCACGGATGTGCCGTCATCGCAAGACTACGTGAAGGCGGTGGACATCGTGTTTAAGCCCGAGTTCGAGTCGGAGTACGCGAGCTCCGCGCTGCCGCTGCAGCCGCGACTCGACGAGGCACTCGACGAAGTGAAGCACCAGTTGGCCGCGACACTCGCTGCGAACAGCTTCGTGCTCGCAACACGCGCTGAGAAAGACTTCACCACACCAAGCGCGGTTTGCGTGCTGTTAGACAACTCAATGGTCGAGCTGGCACATCAGCAGGCGGGCGCGCGACGCGCGTTCTGCGCTATTCTCGAAGGCGCGCGATACGCGGAAAGCGACTCGCTCGCCGAACTGCTCACGCAAGACGCTGTGCGCGTAGGCCTTGCGGAGGCCTCGTCGAAGCTGGAGCAGCGCATCACGCGGCTGGTGAATAGCGCACCAGTGTTCTTGCTGATCAAGGGCAGCAAGACGCGGCCGTTCTGTCGTTTCAGTCGCGCGATTGTCGAGCTGTTTAACGAGGAGGGCGTGGCTTTCGAGGCATTTGATGTATTGAGCGACAACTGCGTGCGCGAGCATGTCAAGAAAATGTTCGACTGGAACACGTTCCCGCAGGTCTACGTGCGAGGGCAGCTCGTCGGCGGGCTCGACGTTTTGCGGCAAATGATCGAGGAGAAAGGCTCGCTGCGCGCGGCGCTGAATTTGGAACAGGCGTAAGCGCCGCGCACGCTTCACAGTCGCGTGCGGCAGCTAGCAGAACGCCGCTTTGAACAGCTCGACCACTTCGAGCACGTTCCTTTCGTCGAGCGCGCGCTCCACGCGCTGCGCGAAGCTCGCGTCCAACGCGTGAGCTTGCGCCGCGCTCGCTTTCATCCTCTGCGCCACCGACAGACGCTCGGCCGCGCTTCGTTTCTGCATGTACTGCGTCGCAAAGCGGCGCATCACGAGGTTGCAAATAATTTCTTCGCGGCGTGTACAGGCGGAAGAAACGTAAGGCTTCGATATCCAGATCTGCGCGTGCACCAGCTCGTGACATGCTACGCACGGAACCAGCACTTCTGGCAGTTGGCTGTTCAAGCAGACTGCCTCTACAAAGCGCTCGCCGGTGCTCTGGTCGGTGCGTAGCAGCGAAAAACCAAGCGTTGCGGCTGGTCCGTCGAATGGCTGCAACGACAGCAATGCCAGCGCGGCGGGCATGTCGCGCTCCGCCCGCGCCGCGCCAGCGGGAGCCTTTGCTGCGCGCTGGAGCAACGCTGCCGTCTCTGTCAACGGCCAACTAGGCTGCTGGCTCAGAAGCAGTGGCGCGAGATAGAGTTGACGACCGCTGCTCGCGAGCAGCTCCCAGCAGTGGTGCGCGCCGTCCGGCGGCCCAGCAGCCGGCAGTGCAGACGAGAGCCGCTGCGCAGCCGCTTTCACGTGCGGAGCTTCCAAGTAGCGGCGAAGCTCGGCGCTTTCGCAAGCCGCCCGGAAGGTGGGCGGTGAGATCGCCGTGCCGTTTGTTGCGCAGCACACGAGCTGGGCGCGCAGCGCCACCGTGGCGTTGCGGAGCAGCTCAGCTGCGCCGAGAAACGAGAGTCGCAGACTGCGCTGAAACGCGAGCGCTTCTGCCAAGTCTGGAGGTGCGCGCGGGTCCCACCGCGGCAGGCTGGCGCAGCGGACACAGAGGCCGCCAACGGCACAGGGAGCGCCGGCACAGGCCAAACAAAGTCCAGCGCTGTCCGAAGTGGTCATGCGCGCGACTAAACGATATTCAAAAATATTAGCTACCCATGCGGTGCCAGAGTGCCCAAAATCGAGGTCAAATTAAGAATGGCGATAAAGCTTATTAAAAAATAGAGCTCGTTCGCCGCCGACATGATGGACGCCTGCCGCTTTTACGAGAATTCTTTTCCGAACGATGGAGATTTGGTGGTGATAAAGGTGATGCGCGTCGAGAGCAATTTGGGCGCGTACGTGCGACTGCTCGAGTATGACGACCTCGAGGGCTTGATATTGCCGACCGAGCTGTCGAAGCGTCGCTTCCGCAGCATCAACAAGCTGGTGAAAGTTGGCAAGCAGGAGGTCGTGATGGTGATTCGCATTGACAAGGACAAGGGCTACGTAGACTTGTCGAAAAAGCGCGTCTCGCCCAAGGATGTGCCCGTGACACTCGAACACTTTGCCAAAGGCAAGAAGACGCAGCTGATTGTTAAGCAGGTCGCGACCCGGCTCAACAAGACCGTTCGCGAAATCAACGAGGCGATCATCTGGCCGCTGTACAAGAAGCACGGTCACGCGTACAACGCGCTAGTGATGGCGCAAGAGGTCGGGAAATCGCATTTCGACGGAATCGACTGCGCAGAAGAAATCAAAGACTGTTTGATGGAAGTCATCAAGTTGACCATTGCGCCGAACATGGTCAAGCTGCGCGTTCGCGTGAGCGTCAGCTGTTCCGGCAGTTTGGGCATTCTCGCGATCAAGGAGACGGTGATAGCGACGGAGAACATGGCGAGGCAGATCAAAAAGAACGACTTCACCCTGAAAATCCAGCTAATCTCGTCGCCGGTGTACGTGATTAGCGTGGTCGCGAGCGATCGCGCGTTCGCGATGAGCGAGCTCGAGCGCGTGCTCGAGTTCATGCGCGACAAAATATCGAGCTATTCGGGCGGCAGCTTCCAGAAGCGGGGCGGTGTGACTTTGATTTGCAACGAGGAGATGGAAGAGAGCGAGAGCGAAAGCTCAGATAGCTCCGATTCCGACGAGTTTTCTTCCTCCGAGTCGGACGACTCGGCGCCGGACAACTCGGACGCGCAGCAGCAGCCCGACGAGCGCCAGACGACGGACAAGCAATAGAATATCGCATTTTGTATAAGACTTTTCGTGCATTATTGCAGGGCCGGCGCAAGATGTCGTCGTGCGAGCTGTTCGAATACTATGCGGCGCTCAGCATCCCGTCTAACGATTCTGGTAAGCTGCGAAATGCGCGCCGCAGCGGACTGTGCCGCCTTCTACGCCGCGCTGCAGAGGCCGCTACCGGTTGCGTTCCGCGTGGTCGGCGCAGACGCGAAGTCTGAGCACATTCGGCGCAGCGTCGACGCAGTGCTGCACGCACAGTGCGCCGGCACGCGCCCGGCAGAAGGGACCACGGAGTTCGCCGCGGTGCTGAAACCGATTCCCTTCTTGCGCGAAGGGCAGGGCTTCTATGTGACGACGAACGAGCCGCTCAAGCAGCTGAAATCTGGGCCGCTGCGAGAGCTATGGGAAGTGATTAAGAGACAGAGCGAGACTGGCTTGCTAATTCGTCAGGAAGTGGTTTCGATGTTGCCCGTCCAACTCCTCAGCACCGTGCTGCCCGCGGGTCCGCTCACACTGCTGGATCTTTGCGCAGCGCCCGGCAGTAAGACGTCGCAGCTGCTGGAGCTTCTAAGCGCTCGTCCGACTGCAGACCGCGAAGAGAGTCTCGTGGTCGCAAACGATCTCAGCCCCAGCCGCGTATACATGCTGCTGCACCGGCTGCGCTACCTGATCCAGCCGTGCTTACTAGCGACGCGCGAAGACAGCTCGGCGTTTCCGTTTTTGAAGCAGGCAGACGGAACCGAGGTCCAGTTCAGCGGCGTCATTGCTGACGTGCCTTGCAGCGGCGACGGCACCTACAGAAAAACCGCGCGATTGGGGAACACCTGGAGAGTACTCAAGGCGATGAAACTACACAGTACGCAGCTCAAAATTGCGAAGCGAGCAGCCGCACTCGCCAAGGTCGGCGGGCACGTGTTGTACAGCACCTGCAGTCTGAACCCCGTCGAGAACGAAGCGGTCATAGACGCGCTCGTGCACTTGGCTGAGGGCGCGCTGGAAGTCGTAAAGACGCAGGTGGAAGGCTTCGCGCACCGCAGCGGCTTGGTGCGCTGGCCCGTTATGCTCGAGGGAAAGCCGTACTTCGACAGCAAAAGCGTCCCGCCCGAGACGCAGAAGCTGCACAACGTTCCGTCAACGGTTTTCGCTACAGGCAACCCTGCGCTCGCCAACTGCCTCCGGTTCTACCCACATGACAACGACTCAGGCGGGTTTTTTTGCTGTTTGCTTCGCAAGAAATCTGCGGTGCCATGGGAAGAAGCTGTGCGCGCGGCTTCGGCAAACAGGCCGCTGCATAAACAGGACGACATGTTTTCAATTGCAGCCGCGTCGACGACTGCTTGCGAAAAGACCGCGGCGTTTCTCGCGCAGCATGGCATGCAATGCTCGGCGGACTTGTGCACTCGGCTCTATTTTGTGCAAGACAAGCACTCCACTCAGCCAGCTACCAAGGACCTACCTTTTTCACGACTGTTCCTCGTGAACAACAAACTGGACAAACTGCTCAGGGGCGGCAGCTTGGAGAAAGCCTTGCGCATTCTCGCTGCGGGCCTGGAAGTCTTGGACTTCAAAACCAAAGAACCGCGCTTCCTGTTCGGCGGCTTCAACACAATGTTGAACTGCTGCGGCGACACTGATCTGGTTGCACAGAGCCCGCGCGTCATCACTGTTTCGATCGACTTCATGCGAAAGCTCCTAGCAGACGCGGAAGGCTGCACTTGCTTTCGCGCAAAGAGCGAGCTGCTTTTCACAGAACCGCGCATTCGCGAGAAGCTGCAAGCCAGTGAGCGGTTCTTGCACTACATCCTACTCATCGACGACGAACAATTCCGCGTAACAAGGCGCGAGTTCGCTGCCATTCCGGCCTACGTGGGTCGTTCGTGCGTCGAGCTCTTGGTTGCATCCAACATGCGCGCCGCTCTGAACTGCATCTATCAGAAGAGTGGCAATTAGTTGCCGCTACGGTAGAGCGTATGTAAAAGTGACACAAGTATTGTAAACATATAAAATTTGCACTCCTCGATGTGATGCTACGGTAGACACGCAACACGCTGCTGCGCGTTCGATGGTGTGCATCGGGATACAACGCGCATGATCCCTCAACGCATCTGCAGCGCACAAAGACGAAAGCAACGCTCACTAACATGCTGAAACAAAGCCGACTGCAATTCAGCGCCCTTCCTATTTTGGAGCTCGTGAGGAATCTTTGCTGCGATGCTTTGCGGGGTATTTAATTGATTAACAGCGGCTGCGCTGAAAGCGGAGCGCACGATTCAAGCGTTGCGTCATTCTACTAGGAATAGGAATTGTCCTCCCATATATAAGAATGACTGAAGCGTGATTTCGAAATCGACGTTGGCCTAGAGAGAGTTTATGCGGAAGAACTCGCCATGTCAAAGCTGGCGAACCGACATGCGTTTTCTTGTAGGCTTCCAAGTGCAGCGTGCGCAGCTGCAGTTTACTTTGTTTCAATAATCATATCTCTCTCTGACGTTTGTTTGCTCCATCGGATATATGCTGCCAGGAGAGTGCTAAATATCTGGTCGGGCATTGCGGACCAAAGAACGATGAAACGTAGAAAGCGAAATCCTCGCAGCACCATTGGAGCTACTCTTCAACAGAGCGCAACTGGCAGTAGCTGGGAGTTACACGCGAGTGTGAAAAGTGATTCGCTTTACTACCGCAGCTTCGTGGAACGCGGAGCTACACAGCAGGCGAAGTTATTCAACGTCCGGCTTCTTGCTTTTTCTCAGTTTTTTGTTCTGCAGGGGCCGTGGCTTTTGTTTTATTGCGGCAGGTTTGCGGGGAGAGGCGTCGGCGGGCGCAGGTGCGCCTTCGAGCTCGTCGAGTTTGCTGCGTGTGGACCGATGACGCGCGCGGAGGCGCAACTGGCGAACAGTGGCTTCGCGGCGCTGCTGTTTAGTCAGGTGCGCAATCGGGGCGCGTTTGCTGTACTTCCTAGCGACCGTCGCAGGGGCGACTTTCTGCAGCTTGCGGAACTCTTCGGGAAGCTCGACCGCGTTGGTCGTGAAGACGCTAAGAAAGAGGCGAATGAATTCGAGGTCTTTCTGCGTGTAGAAGGTGACGGACAGCCCGCGGTGGCCGCAGCGGCCGGTCCTGCCAATACGGTGAATGTACGCCTCGCGCGACAGCGGCAGGTCGAAGTTGAGAATTGCCTGGATCCCTTTGATGTCCAAGCCGCGCGCCGCGAGGTCGGTGCTCACCAAGTAGTCGAGCTTCGCTGCTGCGAACGCGTCAAGGGTTGCCTGGCGCTGCGTCGCCAGCATCTCCGCCGTCAGGTGCGCCGCACGCAGCTTGAGCTCCGATAACTTCTGTGCGAGCATCTCGGCCCGCGAGCCATCCTGCACGAAAACGAGCGCAGGCGCCGGAAGTTCCTGGTGCAGCAGCAGCTGGGTCAACGCGAGCAGTTTCTGGCGATCGTCGTTGACGCTGATCAACCGTTGCTGTATTGTGCTTGGCACGACCAGAAAAGACCCGAGCGTGACCACGGTGATGTCGGGCGCGAACTCGCAAACCGCTGCCAACACCTTGTCTGGGAGCGTCGCGCTGAAGTACAACTGCTGCCGCAAGTTGCTGCAGCCGGCGTAGACGAGCGCGAGTTGCTGGCAGAAGTCGCCGCTGAGCACGGCGTCCATTTCATCGACGATGAGATAGCGCACGCGGGCCAGTTGAGGCCGCAGCTTTTCAGCCTTCGCGGAGAGCGCGAGTCCCGGCGTGGAGACCCAAAAATTGCAGAGCTCCACATGCGCGAGCTTGCTGCTCAGCAGCGAGCACGCCGTCACTCCCTCGCAGTGCTTGACGAGAGCAGCCGCCAAACGGAAGATTTGGTGCGTCAGCTCGCGAGTCGGCGCGAGGCATAGCGCGACCGGCGCGTCTGCGGGCGCAGAATCTTCAGACGCAGCGTCTCGTGCCGAAGCAGACTTCGCGGCGAGCAACGTGCTGAATATCGGTATCAAAAACGCGAAGGTTTTACCGCTGCCCGTGGGCGCGATAAACGCGAGGTTTAGTCCGGAAGGCACCAAGCCGAACGCGAGACGCTGCACGTCGGTTAGCGCGGTGAACTGCACTTCTTGCTGCAGGTACGCTAGCAGCGCGGGATGTATGGTCGCGCGCGCGGTCTCGAAGTCGCGTATCGCCAGGTTGGCGCTGAGCGGCGCGAGGGAGCCGAGTGGCGCGAGCTTTCCGGCCTTCACGTTGTAAAAATACGGCTTGCGGTCGGTGCAGTGCGACACGTCGTCCACGTCCGCAGCTGCAGTCAGCGTGCGCGACGCGTCTGCGCGCGCAAGATCTGGGGGTTGTGCGGCGCTCGCGTTGTGTTGCGCTGCAGGCTCTGCGGCGGGCTGCGTCGAGCGCGCGAGCCGCGTGCCGCTGAGAAGGAACGCGAACTCACCTGCCATGCATTTTGAGAAGGTAGTCGGAGCGCGCGAAATCGGTGGCTCTCGCGAGGCCGAGCTAAATCAATAATTGGAAAAAACAAAATCTGTTCCTCACATCAAAAGCGGCAGGTCCGAGGCGTCCGTCATGCCGCAGAGGTCGCAGGCCCAGCGGTTGTGCGGCTTGTCGCCCAAGTGTAGCAGCTGCGTGGCGAGCGTGCGCATTGGGCGTCGCATGTAGCCGGAGGTGTCGCCGGTCCGCAGCTGTCGGATCAGCGCCTTGATGTTCGTCGCGGACTGCAGCGAGCACTCCGCGCAGTCAATGCGGATTTGGCGGATCACTTCGCCCAACGACTTCGGCATCACGATTGGCTTGTAGTACTGCGCGATCACGGCAAGGTTGTGCTCGTCGAGCTGGTCTTTGCTCGGCGCGCTCTCGAGGCCCGCCGCGGTTTTCTTGAAGCGGTCGAAAATTTGGTTGAGTTCGGCGACGTTTGCGGTCAACGCGGACTGCAGGTCTTTCTGGTAGTCGGCATTGTCGGCGGTCGAGTTGCGGCTGTCGAGCAGAATTTCAGAAAACGTGTTATACAGTTCTTTCTGCTGGCGCTCGAGCTTGACGGCTTCCGGGTCGATTTCCTGCGCGACGCGCTCCTTGGTGATCGGGCTGAATCCGCCGTCGCCGCGCGCGATCTCGGCTTCCTGCTGCGCCTGCTCGATGCGTAGCTCGAGCTCCTCGACCTCTTGCTGGTTCTTCGGGCGCCACGCCGCGAGCTCTTCTGCTAGCCGTTCCTTCTTTTCGCGCAACCGCTCAATCTGCTTGCCCGTTTCTTCCGCAGTTTGCGGCGCAGTCGCCTGAGGTTTGGCGTTTTTGCCGCAGCTGTTGCCCATGTTGGTGTAAGATAAGGTGCAAGCTTACGTGCAACAGGCATGCTCCGCGTTGCCGCGGCGTTGTGCGCAAACGGGCGAGCGCTCGCGCGATCGCGGCGGGGGCCGCAGCGCGTCCCGACCGATTTGCGCAGAAACGCAATAATCTTTATGTTTGCAAACAAATCTGACGATGCAACTCCGAAGTGAAATGCGCCAGTTTGAGGACCTGTGCTTCCTGGCCTTCGTCGGCGCAGAGGTGTTTGTCTCGTTTTTCGCAGTCTTCTCCGACCTCAGTGCGCTGTCGCTGTGCAGCCTGCTTCCGCCGGTGGTCTCGCTGTGGCTGCTCTACAGCCCAATCGCATCGGTCGCGCAACTCGGCGCGCTGCTGCACGCAGTCGCAGCACTGATCTTCAGCCTGCTGACGTTCCACGGGCTGCGCAACGCAGCGGAGCGGCCGCCGGGCGGGCTCGTGTTGCTGTTGAGTTCCGCGCTCGTAAATTGCGCGCAAGCGTACGTGACCTTCTGCTGCGCACGCGCGCTACGGCGCGGGCGCAAGCTGATTTGGCAGCGCGAGGCCGCGAGCGCGAACCCGTTTTGCTCGCAACTGGACCTGACGGAAAAAGAGCGCTTCGAGCTCGGCATGGTGCCCGAGCTGGGCATCTACATCCCCGACTCGATATTTGTGACGGAGACGGGCTACGACGAGGACGCGCGGCGGCCGTTCAACAAGGAGGCCGTCAGCGCGCAGTCCGCGCCGCGGGCAGGCAGCGAGAAGGCGCCGACGCCGCGGCTCACGTGGCAGATGCCGAGCGCGTCCTCGTGCGTGACGCCGAGCTACTACTCGCGCGGCAGCAACAGCCCCGACGGCTCGGAGTCGCGTGCGCCATCGACGGCGCGAGCCAGCGCGGCGGCGCGCAGCGCGCCGCCGAAAGAGTCGCGCAGCAACGCGCTGGACCGCGTGTCCACGGCGACGAGTTTGGACTTTTCCATGGACGACAAGTATCGGCAGATCGACGCGGCCGGCGCGCGGCCGGCGAAGTTCGGCTACTACGTGTAGCGCGGACGCCATCGCACGCGGCCGGCGCGCGGCAGCGAAGTTCGGCTACTACGTGTAGCGCGGACGCCATCGCACGCGGCCGCGCCAAGACACTGCGAGTCCGCGAGACAAAAACGCAAGTTTCTAATAATTTAAATCTGGTTTCTGCATCATGACGGGACTGAAGATTTCGCGCAGAAGGAAGGCCGTGGTCGACGGAATTTTCAAGGCGGAAGTGCACGAGTTCCTTGCGTCGCGCCTGAAGGAAACGGGCTTCTCGGGCGTCGAGGTGCGCATCACGCCGGTGAAGACGTACATCATCATCAAGGCGACGCGTCCGCGCGACGTGCTGGGGCCGGACGGGCGCAACCTGCGCGAGCTGTCTTCGCTGATTCAGCAGCGCTTCAACTTCGAGCCGAAGCAGATCGAGCTGCTCACCGAGAGGCTGCGCAACCGCGCACTCTCGGCGATTGCGCAGGCGGAGTCGCTGCGTTACAAGCTGCTGAAGGGCATTCCGGCACGCCGCTCGTGCTACACGATCATCCGCAGCGTGATGGAGGCGAACGCGAAAGGCTGCGAGATTTCGATCAGCGGGAAGCTGCGCGCGCAGCGCGCGAAGACGATGAAGTTCAAGGACGGCTACATGATCAGCAAGGGCAACCCGGCGAACTACTACATCCAGCAGGCGATCCGCACGGTGGCGATGAAGCAGGGCATCTTGGGGCTGAAGGTGAAGATCATGTTGCCGTACGACCCGAGCGGCGAAGACGGTCCGCGCAAGATGCTACCAGACCACGTGGTGGTCTTCCCTCCGAAGGCGCAGGACCCTACGGGCTCGGAAGTGCACATCATTTCCTACACGAAAGACAAGAAGCTCGAGACGGCGGGCGGCGTGGCGCAACCAGTCGCGTCGGGTTAGTAAATGCATAGCGCGCGCGCAGCGGCGCGCTCACGCGTCGGCGCTTTGCGCAGCGGCGCGCTCACGCGTCGGCGGCTTGCGCAGCGGCCGCGGACTTGCGCGCAGCGGCTTCGGCCTTCTTTTGCCGGCGCAGCGCGGCGGCGGCGCGCGCGAGCCGGTCCTGTTCGCGCAGTTCCGTCTTAATGCGGTCGGCCTCCGCGCTGAACTCGGACTCGAGCGGCGCGGTGAGGTTGAAGACGGGCACGCCGGAGCGGTCTTCGGGGTCGCGGATGTAGTAGCCAAGGCGTTCAAACTGCACGTTCGTTCCGCGCGGCAGCTGCAGCGCGCACTTGTCGACGAGCCCGAGGTATTCTTTGCGCGAGTGCGGGTTCAGGAAGTCGCGCCAGCTGGCGCCTTCGGGCAAATCGGACATGTCTTCGCGCGTGAAGAGCACGTCGAAGTTCACGAGGTGCGCGGGCGCGGCGTCCGCCTCGGCTAGCCACTGTATGGTTTTGAGCTGTTTGCATGCCTTCGCGTCGAGCGCGTCGGGCGAGAGCAGCTGCGCGTCGATGGCCGTGATCACGCCGCCGCAGCGCACGGTCACGGCGCGGCAGCGCACGAGCCCGAGGCCTTTCAGCCGCACGACGCGGCCGGGCGCGAGCCGCCGCCACGCTTCGTCGGGCGCTTCTTGGAAGTCCTGCCGGTCGATGATCAGGTCGGCGTAGATGCGCTGTTTGCGCGCGCAGCTCTCGCTCGCGGAGCGGTAGGTGACCTCGACGTGCTCTTGCCCGCGGAAGTGCTGGTCGAAGTTCAGCAGCCGCATTTGCAGCGGTTCGAGAATCGCGAACGCATGCGGCGCGTCCTTCAGGTGCTCGAGCACGGCCTTCAGAAAGACTTGCTGTTTGGTGAGCGTGTCGCGACGCGTGACGCCCTGCTGCAGCAGAAAGGCGCGGAGCGCCGCGGCGGGCACGCCGCGTCGGCGCAGCCCGCACAGCGTCGGCATGCGCGGGTCGTCCCAGCCCGCGACGACGGACTCCTGCACGAGCTGCGCCAGCACGCGCTTGCTCAGGCAGGTGAACGCGAGGTTGAGCCGCGCGAACTCGATCTGTTGCGAGCGCGGCAGCGCGAGCTTCTGCTGCAACCACTCGTAGAGCGGCCGGTGCTCGGCGAACTCGAGCGTGCAGAGCGAGTGCGAGATGCGCTCGAACGAGTCGCACTGGCCGTGCGCGAAGTCGTAGGTCGGGAAGACGCACCAGGCGTCGTCGAGGCGGTGGTGTCTCACGTGCCGCACGCGGTACAGCACGGGGTCGCGTAGCAGCATGTTGCTGCTCTGCATGTCGATCTTCGCGCGTAGCACGCGCTCGCCATCGCGGCAGCGGCCGGCGCGCATGTCTTCGAAAAGTCGCAGGTTCGTCGCAACGTCGCGCTCGCGGAACGCGGAGGCTTCGCCGGGCCGGTGCAGCCCGCCGCGTTTCTGGCGAATCGTCTCCTCCGACTCGTCGTCGACGAAGGCGAGTCCGGCGCGGATCAGTTCCAGCGCCAGCGCGTAGAGTTGCGCCATGTACGCGCTCGCGTGCGTCACGGCGGTCGGCCGAAAGCCGAGCCAGCGCACGTCCGCCACAGCGCCGTCGACGAACGCCTGCGTCTCCTTCGCGGGGTTGGTGTCGTCGAAGCGCAGGCAGCACGTGCCGCCGAACTGGTGCGCGAGCCCGAAGTTCAACACGATGCTTTTCGCGTGCCCGAGATGCAGGTGCCCGTTCGGCTCCGGCGGAAAGCGCGTCGCGACGCGCGAGCCCGGCGCACGCGCCAAATCGTTGCGAATTGCCTCGGTGATGAAGCACTCCACCGGCTCCAGCTCGACGCCGGGTTCCAACAGGGACTGCGAGCTCGCCATGCGAATATTCGGATTATTTCGAGATTTTGCTTGTTTTCACCGCGGCGAGCACTTGTTGCGCCTCCGCGTGCGTCGCGAAGTAATCGCGCACCGGCGCCAGCAGCGCGATCAGCGCCGCCGCCACCGCCGGCTTCAGGTCGCCCGGGTGCAGCTCGCCCGCGGCGTACGCGCGTTCGAGCTCCGCGTAGCTCGCGAAGCGAATCTCGCCGCCGTGCTCCGGCTTTCGCGCGACCGTCAGCTGCTGCGCCGCGGGCAGCACGATCACGCGCACGTACGCGAGCAGCGGGTTGCCTGCGACGACTTGCGGCGGGCAGAACGCTTTTTTGATTTTGCGCCGGATGTCTTCCGGCGCGTCCTCCATGAAGATGGCGGAGTCCGCGTCCGACTTGCTCATTTTCTCCTGGCCCTCCAGCAGCCCGGGCAGCATTTCGTGGCTCAGCACGACCGGCTTCCGCAGCGGCGTGCTGCTGTGCTGCGCGTTCCACTCTGCGGCATACTCGCGCGCGAGCATGTTCACTTTGCGCTGGTCGAGCCCGAGCTGGCAGATATCCGCGCCGATGTAGAAAATGTCTGCGGCCTGCATGCACGGATAGAAGATCTGCGCCGCGGGCTGTTCGTCGTGCTCCGCGCGGCCCATGATCTGTCCGCAGCGCTTCACGCGGCTAATCGTGTTCCGCTTCGCGATATCCATCACGCGCAGCCAGTACTGCGCGCTGTCGCGCTCGATCTCCTCCGACGCCCACAGAAACACCACGTTCGTCAAGTCCATGCCCACCGCGCGCCACACGTGCTCGAAGTAGCGGCCAACCGTGCGGATCTTCTCGAGGTCGCCGCCCATCTTGTTGTTCAGCAGCGCGAACCAGTCCGCCACCCAAAACACGAACACGCAGCCCGCGGCGGTCAGCCGGTTCACGATCTGCGCCTTGAACAGCCCCTGCGCGATGTGCATGCGGCCCGACGGCTCGAAGCCGTCGTACACGACCGGGTGCCGCTTCTCCGCGAGCAGCGCGCGCAGCTCCGCGTCCTGGACGCACTCGAAGCCCACGCTGCGCACCAGCTCGAAGCGCTCCTCTGCGCTCAGCGCGCACGCTTTGAACTGTCGCGCGGCGTCGCGCTCGAGCACTTCCAGCAGCCCTGGTGCCTTCAAGAACTTCATTCCGATTTTTCAAATTTAATTCAATTGCGGCTCGCTTGTCGCGCGATGCTGAGTTCCGAGCAAATCAACACGTTCGACCGGCAAATTCGCGTCTGGGGCCACAAGGCACAGCAGGCGCTGCTCGCGTCGACCGCGCTGCTCGCGGCCGGCGATCGACTGCACTGCGAGCTCGCGAAGTGCTTGGCGCACAGCGGCGTGCGGCTGCAGATCGCGGCCAACGGCCCGCCGGACTTCGCGGCGCTC